GCAGCACATTGTTCACAATCCACTAAAGACACTTATATTTGTTTACATCAGGGAATAAGAAAAAGGGATCCCATTAGAGGTAAGAAGATTTATGCTCTTTGAAAGGTAAATATGATGACTTTAGGGACAAAGCTCTATCATTTTTTATCAGTTATCTAGTACGACTTAATGGCAGGCTTGGCTTTCACAGGAACATTTGGTGAACATGAGCTGCCATCAAATCATTCCCCGTGAAAAATGTATGACTCACTCTATGTATTTATTTGTTTATCATTTGGCAAAGCAAAGTGAAAGTAGGTGATGACTAAACACTGTTTTGCTTTCTATACTTTCTTTTTAATTCAGACTTTTGCAAATTGGAAATCTTACTTTTTTAATTTTGTGATAAAAAAAAAGAACAATCTATGCTCTGTTTAATTTCTATGTATGTTTGTACTGTATGTCTATGTACAGTATGTTTAAATTGATTATAATGGCAATCTTACTTAACATCTTGATTATTTCATGTATTTTTTGTGTAAAACGTATCCCGGCTAAAGACAGAGAATATGAATTGCATCTAGTTTGTCATCTTCATTTAACAAAGTGGTGTCTTTAAACCTAACCTGTCTTTAAATGTGCAAAGCTAAACCTAACTGGATTATGGGGGAGGGGGGGGGGGGGTGCGGGGGGTATCATGGAACTAAAACCACTGAAATTAAATTAGAGTTCAGAATCTGGAGAAGAATGAGGGGGATAAAAAGTCAGTATGGATGACTCTGCTAGACCTTCTTCTTCTGGTTTTTCACTTTGTAATGGTTTTAAAGAAATAAAGACAGTGGCCAAGGAAAGAAAAGTGAGGATAGAGCGACAATGTCAAATGAAGTCAAGAAAGGTGCTGCCTGTTCATACAGAAAGATTGGCAGGGATCCTATATATTGTCAGTGAATTAATGATGGATCAGATCTAATTTTGTACAATTCCTTTATATCACATTTGACTAGAAAGAACCATATAAGTAAAGTTTCACCCAATTAGGTAACATTTAGTCCCACACCTTATGACATTTTAAACCACTGTGGGGAAACAGTGTCTAATTGACATGAATACACAAACTGAAAGTGGTTATTTCCGCAGGTGCACAACAAGAATAGAATGTGTGGTTAGGATTTTAAACAATCATGATGAGTAAGAGAAAAGAACTCTAGCAGAGCAGCTGTATATCTAACATAAAGTTCTCGAGTAAATTGATCTGTATTGTATTTGTAAAGCATTAGAGAAGTATTGTTGGGGTGAGTGCATCATAGCTACAAGCTTTGAATCTGTTGTAACCTTGAACATTTCTGATCTTTAGAGCAGCATAAGGATGCAAACATGATCAAATATTGTTTTCACTGTGTCTCGTTAGTATGATGGAAAAGTAGCATGTGCCTTGATGGACATATGGTGCTATGGTATACTCATGCTGCTGACAAAAGAAGTAATTATGGCACATTGGTGGTTGCACTCAGAGGCCACATGGGAATGGTTTATGGTATGCAATTCATTGTAAAGCAGTTGATGTGCTGCTACAGTACACTGACAGCACGTCCCAACACTCGTGCTTCCTGTTCGCTTTCTGTGCAGATTGAGGGCTTAAGCCTGCATACACTTTATGCATCCTGATGAAACAGACAATACAGTAACTGTCTCCAGTCAATACCTGTGAATGGTATGTGGAAAAACATTGTTGTCATCCTGTTCATCATCAACAGTCATTTATAATAGGCAGAAAATCTTTTGCTGACTTTACTGTATCATGCCACACTTCACTGAGAGTCAGACATTTACATTCAGCTGATTGAAAGGTTCAGGTAGACAATTTTAAATAAGCCTTTATTTAAGGACTTTTATATAAATATGCAAATTATGTAATGTGATGGATTTACTTACACTTACTTGCACTTTCTTTCATCTTGCCTTGTGAAGTCATTGTGCCTGGAATATAATTATGACCAATTTATTACACTTGGAGCGTAACTTCAACAGCCTTAACATTAATATTCCGGCTCTCTGATCTACTTAAGGATTTACCACACACATCTGCTGGTTTTTTCCTGCCACTGTAATGCACATGCAATTGATGGTAGTGTTAGAGAACAGTCACTGGTTTAAGACCTACAGAATAATGTAGTGAAAGAGCAGCACAAGCATGTCGTAATTATCACTGTAGATGCCCTTGAATAAATAGTTTGACATGTTCTGAAGTTGTGCTTGTTTGCTTTCTTGGTTGATATACAAATTTTAATGCCTTTGGGGTAACTTTAGGCTGTAAGCTTAGTTTAGCACAAAAAGAAAATCCCCCCCAAAAAAAAAATATATTTTATCTGAATTTGAACACATCTTATTATCAGTATCTTAAAAAGGTACCTAGAAGTACAAGAAACAGAAGTATGGCAACCCACCTTGTTACATTATGAGCCGGGGGGAAAGATTGGCATGGAATGGTCACATTCCAAAGTATTCACCTGTTGCCAGGCAACTGCTTCCTGCTAATATATAGTCAGTCACACAACCTCAAACACAAACTGCAAACTGACCTTTTTAAGAAGTACGGCTGGTGAAGTCTAAGCAACTTCCAAGTAGGACTGTACAATACACAATATTTTGTGCATTCACCAAAAACATGCACAATAATTCCAACCTAAGAGACTGCATGAAATCAATGAATAAGACAGAAAGCATCATGTTTATACACACAAGTATTTGACCTTTCAGATTTATAAAAGGGCATGCATTCACATGATTTTGCCAAAAAAAGACGTCCCACCCAGACACTGTGAATATCTAGCAGGGACCTGAGGTAACTATAATGATAGCAGGAGAAAGAGAGAAGAACAGGATGTGGTTAGTGAAGAAAAAAAAAACCTTTGCTTATAAGATTTATTTTATATCCATGAGAGACATCACAACATTGGACGGATTTTAAAAGGGCATGAATTCACATGATTTTGCCAAAAAAAGACGTCCCACCCAGACACTGTGAATATCTAGCAGGGACTCTGAGGTAACTATAATGATAGCAGGAGAAAGAGAGAAGGGCAGGATGTGGTTAGTGAAGAAAAAAAAAACCTTTGCTTATAAGATTTATTTTATATCCATGAGAGACATCACAAGCTTCATATGATAGAAAGTATTTTCCTATGCTGGAAACAGACCAGATTAGTGACTGTCAGATTCATTAAGTTATGTTTCACACAGGAACTGATTACTGCCATTACTTCTGTCATGGACAGTAGGTCTTCACCCCCAGAGCTGAAAAAGTAACAAAATGAAAAGAAAACCACATAAGACATTTGCACTGACTTTGGGCAACATTTGCATTAATTTGAACTTGCCCTGCCAAAAAGTCCAATATTAAATTTCATTAAAAAGATGTTTTGGTTACAACCAAATCAAGAGAAAAAATGGCTTTTCATCCACTAGGTTTTATTCACAGTGATCACCAGCTAGTTGCTGAGTTTGAATTCAATTTGCTGTCGGGTAAAAGGTTTATTAGATTAATGGAGATGCTTTGATGGATACAGTTGCCCCCAGCAGCTTAAAAACATTTACTTTAAGAGTATGGGAGAAAATACGAGAGCAGAAGTCTGTAAAGTAAAAAAAAAAAAAAAAAGGGGATATTGTTACAAATTAGCCTTATTACTTTAAACATGGGGTAAACGCATGCATTCATAATGCAAAATAGTAATAAACAAGGCTAAAGATATCTATGCCTTATTTTTTTTAATTTTTTTTATTGTTCTTGACAAACAACAAACAATGACTGAAGCTCTTTAGACAGTGCCCCCTCTACTCCCCATCAAACCCCAGTCTTCACAGTTCCATCAACTTCATCATTTCATCAGCCTCAGCAGAGGTCATCAGCCAACACCTCCACCATCACTGTTCTGACTCAGTGGAGGGTTATATCATGCAGCTTCTCCCTCACAATTACATATTCCTCAGTAGAACAGTAAATAAAACAGGATAAGACACACTTTTCGCATTATTTATTTATTTTCTGATTATAATGCCAGTTGGTTCAATGAAAAATGATTCTGCTGAAAAACTTCTCATTACAGGTTGGTCTGTTTTCCAAAGTGGCACCTGTATTTATTAGAACTCTCTCCAATGGTTTCTCAGCTATGGATTCCGAAGATTTAAGGCAGAGCTTGGATTTTGAGCTCTTCTAAAGTGGGGTACACACTACAAGATAATCTGGCCGATTTTGGGCTCGATTTCCCCCTGCAGACGAAAGTCAGCAAAGGCCCGACTATCTGATGTTCCAACGATTATCTTGCTTGATTCTTCTGTAGTGTGAGGTGTGTTAGGCTTACAAACAGGCTGCAATGCAAGTTAACTTAAAGGGATACTTCACCCATATGCATTAAGCTTTGTATCATAAGAAACCTGGTAGTATTTTTGAATGGTCGTGCATCCCGCCCTAATTTTTCCCTGAGATGGGAAATCTTTGTACTTCTAAGTCTGAAGAGGAGCTTCCAGTGACGCAAAATGACGATTTTTGCGTCACTGGAAGCTGTTGCAGTTAGCGGTGTGATATGATAACAGGCTCTATGGAGAAAGCTGATAATGGCGATAAAATAAATAAATATAACGGCAAGACGGCTGCTGCCGACAGGCCGGTCTTGTATTTTGGCTGCTGCGGCCACTGGTCGCCGGGGCTGCCGCTGGCCGCTAGCCACTGTTCGCCGCCACAACACCAGACCAGCCTGTCAGCAGCAACCGTCCGTGCTATATACGACCCAATGTCAATACAGATTCATGTTTCAACAGGTGAAGTATCCTTTTAATCATGAATTCAACGCAAATTCAAACCACATTTACAGCAGTTATATCGAGAGTTCTTGGAATAGGATGGGTTAGGAAATACTAAAAAGTCAAAAGACTACCGTTCAAAACACACACATACATGACATATTAAAGTGATCTCTGTTTCATCTTTCCTTTTCACAGATAGCCAGTCTGTCACCTTCATCAAGATGTCTGCTTCTTACAACTGCTCTTACGATTTAATGGCCATGACAGGCGAGTGGCTTTGTCCCCAGGAGGGAAACTGTCCAAATCTGACCTCTGGCATGAACAGCAGCCACATGGATGTGGTTGACGCATGTCTGGAAGTAGAAGAGTACTTGGAAAAATATCTGGGGCCTCGGCGGTCGTCTGTGTTCCTCCCCGTCTTCCTCATCTACCTTGTCATCTTTGTGGTAGGCGTTGTGGGGAATGTCCTAACATGCACTGTCATTGCACGCAATAAAGTGATGTGGACACCAACAAACTACTACTTGTTCAGCCTGGCGGTGTCTGACCTGCTGGTGCTGCTGCTTGGCATGCCATTAGAGCTGTACGAGCTGTGGCAGAACTACCCGTTCCTTCTGGGGGAGGGGGGATGCTACTTTAAAACATTTCTGTTTGAGACTGTTTGCTTGGCATCAATACTCAACGTGACAGCGCTGAGTGTGGAGCGTTACATTGCAGTTGTGCACCCTCTACGCGCAAAGTATGTTGTAACACGCACCCATGCCAAGAGGGTCATCCTTGTAGTGTGGGGTGTTTCGGTGTTGTGTGCTTTACCTAACACCAGTCTGCATGGGATCACCATGCTTTACAGTCGCTCCATTGGCTCCGCTGGGAATACTCACTTGGAGATCCCTGACTCTGCAATCTGTACTCTGGTGAAACCGCCCTGGATGTACAACCTGACCACCCAGGTGACTACCTTGTTATTTTTCATCCTGCCCATGCTCACCATCAGCGTTCTCTACATGCTCATCGGGCTGCAGCTGAAGCAGGAGAAGCTGCGTCAAGCCCTGCAAGCAAAATCAGGCTTCGGACAAGACAGCTTCTGTAATGTACGAACACAACAGCAGAAGGCCCGCCGCCGACAGGTCACAAAAATGCTGTGTGAGTATCAAACCCCTCTTGATCTTGCTTTTTTGCCCTTTTCCTCAGATCTATAAAAGAGGTGTATAACGGGGCGCTGGTGGCGCAGTGGTAAGAGCACGTGCCCCATGTATGGAAGCTGTAGTCCTCCAAGCAGGCAGCCCAGGATCAAATCCGACTTGTGGCTTCTTTCCCGCATTTCATTCCCCACTCTCTCTACCCAATTTCTGACTCTATCCACTGTCCTTTCTCTCCAATAAAGGCACACAACGCCCCAAAAAAAGAAATATTAAAAAAGAGGTGTACAACATAATGCAGTGAAAACATTGTATCCTAAAGCTGATGGCTCACAAGGTCCTCAGAAAAAACAAAATCACTTCAAATGAAGCAAAGTTTTGGAATATCCATTGAGTCCCGACATTGCACCGCCCTGCTCTTCATCTGCTGACAAAGATTACACAGGCTGCTTCACTAGCTAACAGCTAGCAAGCTAAAGGTTTACACTTTAAACTTTGATGTTAGCCATCATGATAAGAAATAACAAAAAGTTTGTACTTGTTGGAAGTCACCTGGTAAAAACCCATTCATACAGTCATTTGACTTACAGTTACTAAACAAACGTCTTGGAAGTTGATTCTTGGTAAACCAAACATGGTCAACTCCTTTCCTCAATGTTAGCTATAAATTATGCTCTAGAAAAGAAAAAGAAAAAGCACAATGAACCCTGTCATTGACTTAATCCTGAGTTCCATTAATTCCAGGTGACGTCTCACTTTTATACAATCTAGGGTTGCCAACCGTCCTGTATAGACCAGGACATCCCATATTTAGAACCAAATCAGTTTGTCCCCATCCTGTGGGAGGACCCTTCTCCTGTATAATCCAACCTTTTTTAATCCTGCCCTAAAATCTAATGTTAACATGAGAAAAAATATAAGTGCCTCTTAACTGACATTGTAATAATAATAATAATTCTGGCAAACACTTGCCTGTTTTTAGAGATTGACATTCATTGATATCTTCTCAGATGCTTGTCTGCACAGTTTAAGATGCTGTGGTACAGTCATTTGACTTACAGTTACAAACAAACGTCTTGGAAGTTGATTCTTGGTAAACCAAACATGGTCAACTCCTTTCCTCATTGTTAGCTATAAATTATGCTCTAGAAAAGAAAAAGAAAAAGCACAATGAACCCTGTCATTGACTTAATCCTGAGTTCCATTAATTCCAGGTGACGTCTCACTTTTATACAATCTAGGGTTGCCAACCGTCCTGTATAGACCAGGACATCCCATATTTAGAACATCAATCGAAACATAACGGTCGCCATATTGCTTGGAAGCTATGATAACAGGCTCTATGGAGAAAGCTGATAATGGCGATAAAATAAATAAATATAGCGACAAGACGGCTGCTGCCGACAGGCCGGTCTTGTGTTTTGGCTGCTGCGGCCACTGGTCGCCGGGGCTGCCGCTGGCCGCTAGCCACTGCTCGCCGCCACGACACCAGACCAGCCTGTCACCAGCAACCGTCTCGCGGCTATATTGCTATATTGCTATATACGACCCAGTGTCAATACAGATTCATGTTGAAGTATCCCTTTAATCATGAATTCAATGCAAATTCAAATCACATTTACAGCAGTTATATCGAGAGTTCTTGGAATAGGATGGGTTAGGAAATACTAAAAAGTCAAAAGACTATCGTTCAAAACACACACATACATGACATATTAAAGTGATCTCTGTTTCATCTTTCCTTTTCACAGATAGCTAGTCTGTCACCTTCATCAAGATGTCAGCTGTGAAAATGTATGCTGAGTCAGCAGCAGGCTGTTAATTGATTTGTCTGACAGTGATCCAATAGCAGCAGTTTCAAGCTTTGAAAATTATTCTATAGAAATACTGTAATCAGTCTTTTTTCCTGATGGTGTCCTTTTCTTTGGTTGATCATAAAGAGGCATTAGTATTAATTTAAGTCATTTCCAGCTAAAATTCACAATAGCTTTGAATTTATATTTTTATTTCACACTAATGTGCAAATTAAAGGAAGGACCAAAAGGACTTAATGAAGAGCATAGAGAGCATTTTGGCATCACGCATCAATATCCCGCTGCCAACATTTTCTCTAAAAGCACCAACTGTCCCTTTCCCTCTTTTTTCCAGTCGTTTTAGTGGTGGTTTTCGGAATCTGCTGGGCGCCGTTTCACACGGACCGCCTCATGTGGAGTTTCATCAGCGACTGGACTGACAACCACCTGGAAATCTTTGAGTATGTGCACATAATTTCAGGAGTGTTTTTCTATCTCAGCTCAGCAGTCAACCCAATCCTCTACAACCTCATGTCCACACGCTTTAGAGAAATGTTCAAGGAGGTCATGTGTCACCGGCAACATCACAACACTCCTAGGAAACACTCGCTCAGCGTGACACGAGTGACGCTCCGCAGCACCCTAAGTGATGCCCCGCATGGCAACGGAGCAGCTGTTGTTGAAGCCGAGCCAGAAGAAGGAGAGGTCAAGATAAAAGATGAGACCAGCTTTTAAAATGAAAAAAGGCAACGTTAAAGGGGACATGCTGTGGGATGGCTTGGTGACTCATTGTGAGCCATGCTGCTTTTCAAGACTTTATTCTGAGTTCAGCAAAACACAATGATGTTAAACTCAAAAGTTTAAAAAAACTGGAATGTCATCTTTGCCAGCTTGAATAACATGTTATGTTCCATGTATTATTTTATTTAATGACTTTATTAGATTTGGGAAAATATGTTTAAATGCTGACAATAAAGTTTACAAATGCAGGGTTTTTTTATTTGAAGGAAATAGCGGATCAAAAAACGCTAACGTTTAAAGGATTTTAAATTCTTGCATTTTTGGTGTCATGCACTAAGTGTAAGTGTACAGCTCATGTTTGGTGGTTTAGAAAAAGATTAAAAAAAAAAAAGTTTTAGGATTAAAAAGAGGTCCAATTTAAAATAAAAAATGTTAATGGCTTGATATATGATTGTGGAAAACTGAATGTCTTTTTTATTTACTTGACTTTATTCAACTGTTCTGTTCTTACTATTAATGATGTTAGGAGACAGCCACACTTTGTGTACAGGGAATTATTCTGATAGAATTATTTGTTTTATAACTTTGATGCATTCACATTACTTGTATTGTCCTGTAATGATAAACTCAGTATAAGTTACTGTTATGTTCAGCCAATTCATAGCTTTCAGTGACGTCACCAGCGTGGAGGGCTGGAGGGCAAAAAACGCTAAGGAAAGTAACGGCCACCATTAAAAACAGTGTAGAACTGCAGCACAGGCTTTTAATTTATCTCCTATAAACGACACGTTTAAATCACCTGACAACCATAGCAAAACCAAGATATTAAGATAAACTTTGAGTTTGGGGCACTTGCGATACTTTATCAACACACAGGAAACTATTTATCCGTGCCGGTGTTACGGTTAAAAGAGTTATCATGTTAACTGGTGACTGTCAGTCAACTGAGTCTGGTTTGTCGTACGTTACGTGTCCTAACAAAAGCATATATTTTTAGTTTTCATTAAAACATATCTCATAAGTAATTATGACATTATGATAATACAAAAACTGAACTGAGGCATTTGTTAGGACACTTACAGACGCGTTTGTCTGAAAGTCATCAGTTAACATGGTCACTCGTTTAACCGTAATACCAGAACTTAGACTTAGACTTAGACTTAGACTTAGACTTTCTTTGTTGTCATTCAAACTTGTACTTTACAGTGCAGATAAGAACGAAATTTCGTTGCATTTGGCTCGTTATAGTGCAGGATAAAAACAGCAGCATGTATTTACATATAAAAAATAAAAATAAGGTGCAGATATAAATAGATATAAAAAGAAAAACTATGAGTAAAAATACAGATAAATATATTGCACGTTATATTGTGTTTTACAGTCCAGTGAGGTAGTCCTGTGTGGGGGTTTGAGGGGGAATGGAGGGATTATTTTTTTCCTGTTCAAAAGTCTTATGGCCTGTGGGAAGAAGCTGTTACAGAACCTGGAAGTTCTGCTTCGGAGGCTGCGGAACCTCTTTCCAGAGTCCAGCAGCGAAAACAGTCCTTGGTGGGGGTGGGAGGTGTCTCTGCTGATTTTCTGAGCCCTGGTCAGACAGCGGATCTTTGTGATCTCCTGGATGGGAGGAAGTGGAGTCTTAATGATCTTTTCCGCCGTCCTCACCACTCTCTGCAGGGACTTCCAGTCGGAGGCACTGCAGGCTCCGGACCAGACAGAGATGCAGTTTGTTATGATGCTCTCTATAGTGCCTCTGTAGAAGGTGGTGAGAATAGGAGGAGGGAGGTGTGCTCTCTTCATCCGACGCAGAAAGTGCATGCGCTGCTGCGCTTTTTTCACAAGAGCGCCGGTGTGAAGGGACCAGGTCAGAGTGTCTGTTATCTGCACCCCCAGGAACTTTGTGCTGCTAACTCTCTCCACTGCTGTGCCATTGATGAGGAGTGGTGTGTGGCTGGGCTGGCGCCTCCTGAAGTCGACGATGATCTCTTTGGTTTTATCGACGTTCAGGGTCAGGTTGTTGGTTCTGCACCAGTCAACCAGATGTTTCACCTCCTCTCTGTAGTCCATGTCGTTGTTGTCACGGATGAGGCCCACTACTGTTGTGTCGTCTGCAAACTTCACGATGTGGTTAGTAGTGGACCTGGCGCAGCAGTCATGGGTCATCAGGGTGAACAGCAGTGGACTCAGGACGCAGCCCTGAGGGGAGCCGGTGCTCAGGGAGATGACACTGGAGGTGTTGTTGCCCACCCGCACAGACTGGGGTCTGTTTGTGAGGAAGTCAAGCAGCCAGTTACATAGGGGGGTGCTGAAACCAAGGGTGGCCAGTTTGCTCACCAGATGCTGCGGGATGATTGTATTGAACGCTGAGCTGCAGTCCAGAAACAACATCCGCACATGTGTGTCCTTCTCTTCCAGATGTTGTAAGCCCAGGTGGAGTGCAGAGGAGATGGCATCCTCTGTGGAGCGGTTTGGGCGGTAAGCAAACTGGTACGGGTCGAATGTTGGGGGAAGTCTGGAGACAATGTGGTCCTTTACCAGCCTCTCAAAGCACTTCATCATGATGGGGGTTAGTGCTACAGGGCGGTAATCATTGAGCGAGGAGATTGTGGATTTTTTAGGCACTGGTATAATTGTAGCAGTCTTTAAACATGAAGGTACCACAGCCTGGATCAGCGAGGTGTTGAAGATGTCTGTGAGAACCCCAGCCAGCTGGTCAGCACATTCCTTAAGCACCCGTCCCGGTATGTCGTCAGGGCCCGCTGCTTTCCGAGTGTTCACTCTCCTCAGGGTTCTCCGGACATCAGCTGCGTCCAGGCTGATTGGCTGCTCATCGGAGTGAGGAATAGATTTCCTCGCTGGAGTGGTGTTGAGTGCCTCAAACCTCGCAAAGTAGTTGTTGAGGTCGTTGAGAAAGTTGATGTTGTTGTCACAGGGGGGAGGAGTAGCTTTATAGTCTGTGATGACTTGGATGCCCTGCCACATTCGTCTGGTGTTCGTGGGGTCCTCGAAGAAGTCCTGCACTTTCTGACTGTGAGCACGCTTTGCAACCTTTATGGCACGGTTCAGGTTGGCTCTGGCTGTTTTTAGTGCCACCATGTCGCCAGATTTAAAAGCGTCGTTCCGGGCTTTCAGCATTGCACGTACCTCACTAGTCATCCAGGGTTTCTCGTTGGCCCGTGTGGCGATGTTCTTGATCACACTAACATCCTCCATGCACTTCTGAATGTATGCAGACACAGACTCGGCATACTCCTCCACACACGTCTGGTGATTGTCCGTAGCAGCCGCCTTGAACATGTCCCAGTCCGTGCATTCAAAGCAGTCCTGTAATGCTTCCATAGCTCCCTCAGGCCAGACCCTCACCTGCTTCACTGTGGGTTTTTTCCTGATCAGCAGGGGCTCGTATGCTGGAATTAGCATCACAGAGAGATGGTCTGAGGAGCCAAGGTGGGGGCGGGGTGCAGCCTTGAATGCCTTCTTGATGTTGCTGTAGGCCAGGTCCAGCATGCTCCCACCCCTGGTTGTAAAATCCACATATTGATGGAAATGAGGAAAAACAGTTTTCATATTGGCCTGATTAAAGTCCCCTGCCACAATGAAAACTCCCTCTGGATGTGTAGCTTGCAGTTCACTGATGGAGCGGTATAAAACATTCAGGGCTTCTCTGGTGTTTGCACTGGGAGGAATGTACACTGCTGTGAAGATCATAACAGTGAATTCCCGGGGTAAATAAAAAGGCCTGCATTTTATAGTCAGTAGTTCTACATCAGGAGAGCAGTGACTTCAGACTATCTCACCGTTGTTGCACCAGTTGTTGTTGGTGTATATGCAAACACCGCCGCCTCGGGATTTACCAGTGAGAGAGCTGCTCCTATCCGACCGAAATAATGTTAGCCCCTCTATGCTAACTGCCTCATCTGGAACGGATGGTTTCAGCCACGTTTCTGTGAGAAATATGGCGCAGCAGTCTCTCATCTCCCGTTTTGCAGTTAAGTCCAGCTTCAGGTAGTCCAGTTTGTTCTCCAGGGAGCGGACATTAGAAAGCATGATGGAAGGAAGCGGCGTTCTGTGCGGGTTAGCTTTTAGCTTGGTTGTTAGCCCCGCTCGGCATCCCCGTTTTTGCTTGCGGTCACACCGCTTCCGTCTCCTCCGCTGGCGGACTCCGCTGGTACGAGGCTCCGCTGCTTCACAGGCCGCTGGATGTCGCCGGCGTAGTATTCCAAGGCTACGTAGAAGGTCCAGAGTAGTCGCATCTACCGGACTGAAACTGTTTGATTTACCTAAAACTAAAATTGCCTGGCGGTCGTATATTACTTTAGAGTAACTACGCTGCAGGTTTACTGTGAAATTATCAGAACTGACTGGGTTATTTGCCATTATATTCCTGTTGCTATCACGAGCCACTGCAGCCGCAGCCGAGCAGGGCGCCGCCATCTTGGAAGATGGAAGAACGTCACTTCAGTGATATTGCTGATATTTAGAGAATCCCTCTCCTTACACCGCCGTAGGATGAAAGTCTACAAACATACAGGCAGCTTTATGTAATATGGTCTGGGTCAATAATGCTGCTGTTTGAGAAGTGAAGGGCAAGAAATTCCACATCATTCAAGCATCGTGAGTGCTAATTAGCTAACATTAGCTAGTTAACATTAGCTAGTTAGCGTTAGCTAGCGATAGTATCAGCTGTCAATTGTAGTGTTCTGGGGCAGTCATTTGAGTTAACGGCAGGAATATTTTTGATTTAGTCAACAATATAATTGATGTCAGGATGAGGAGAAGTCCAATGTTTCCCCTCACAGCTTTAATCCACAATTGCCTCCTTTCTGTTTTTTTTTCTCAGATTAAATTCTGTAGAAGCAAAACTCAGGCTTGTCTCCTCGCCGGTTAGTGTATCACATTAAACAACAACTGTATTTAATTAGATTTTTTTTAAATAAAACAGATAAAAACACGTAGGGGGCCACTGAGACCAGTAACTTCTCAGTAGCGTACAGTGG